CATCGGAAGCCAAGAAGGGAAGAGCGTGATTCGTGGTCGCTGGGCGTGGGTGGGGGGATCGCGGGTACGATGCCCCCCCGTGTCGCCGGGCGGGCGGAGCATTAAATGGTCGTTGACGGGACAAGCTGGCGGAAACATACGATGACCGTGGGCAGGAGGGAGGTAATGCGGGTTGTGAGATGAGCCCTTCGCTTTGTTTTCAAGCCAAGCGCCCGTGAAACGCGCTCGCTCCGAGGAAGAGAGAAGGCGATTATAACATTAATTATATTCTTAGTAATAGTACGGAAGCGTATTTTTGTGTTTCCATGTAAACAAGTGGTTTGAGCCTTTGAAGCATCCTTGGTAGTCTCGGGGGTCGCCTCAGAGTCATCTTGGCACTTTCCTTAAGCCCTGTTGGAGCTATGCCTGGGGCCGCCCCGGCCAAATTGGGTCATCCTGCGCCGCCTTGTGACACTTTGGAGTTGTCCAGGGCCGAAGGGGTTATTCCGGAAGAGCTGATCCGCCGAACCGTCCAGGCCCAGAGGTCTGGTGGGAGTACTACGCCCTGCCCCCCCCGCCAGGGCGGCCTCACTGGGGAAACCTCTGCGGCGGGCCCCATGTCAAAGTGGGTCTTTAATCCTTCGTGAGTGTTGGAAGGGCCTCAGCTGAAGGGGGGATGCAGCGGAGGGGAAGTACGAGCACGTGAGAGGAGAGAGGAGGGACGCAAACTAGGTAGCGCTGGCGCCACATCTGACACCCTACCCCTCACACCCATCCCTTCCCATTGCGCTAACTGTTTCTGTATCCGTGGACACGTGTAAAAGCGGACCTGGAACTTTCAGAAAGACCATATCGTGTTATGCGCAATCGGAACAGGGGAGCTGCGTATATTGGAAGGGGGAGGAGGAGGAGAATGTGGCGAATGAGCAGGGGGAACAGGAGGGAAGGAGGAGGATTGGACTTCGGCAACAGCATGCTCGTGGTCGCACCCATACTGGAGGGTTGCCCACACCCTCCACGCGTGAGTCACATCATCCACCGCATCTGCGCAGCCCCAGACCAATACTCGCACCATACGACGACCGCAGCACCTTCGAGCGCGAGATACACATTGAGATGCTACCGACTCGAGACCCGACCGCAGACGAAGTCACCATGCACAATAGCGAAGACACGACGATGACCGAGGACAACAACACAGCCCACCTACCGAACAACGAAGCACCTACGAGCAGCGCAGACGCAGCCACCAGCGCAACCCCAGCAATCATACCCCCACTACCGACTCCCAACCACCAACCAACCCACCATAGCGGTACGACCCCAGCGGCAAAGCCTGCGATATTCAAAGCACTACCTAACCTACCGACTGTCAGAGAAGACACAGTAGAACAGCCTACGCACGCGATCGACTACGAGGGCAAGACCACACAGCACGAGCTCGACTCACAGGAGCGACGCACCCACTACCGAACCTGGCTGTTCCAACCCGACTTCCAGCGACAGCACACCAGCAGCACACGACAACCAACTAGCTGCCGTACAAGTCGAACCACAGAGGCCCACTGGATGGTTCCCCATCGCTGCGATCACACACGAGAAGGTTAGACCCGACACAATCACCTTCCCGATGGGCGCAACCATACGCTACTCGTTCCACACTAAGCTGGCGGACTCCATCGAAGACGGCACAATCACGGTGAACGAGGGCGACGAGGTCACAACTTTCAGCATGTCCTACAGCAGCAACAACGACCTACGGGCAAGGGGCACCATCACTCAGACCAATCGCATGCGGAGCACCAAACAAGCTCTGATACCATACATCATCACCGAATGCCGGTCCCAACACAACGACACCCAGGAGAAGCTCGACATCCATACCACAATTGTAGGCAAACAACACGTGAGCTACAACCAGGCCCTCAACATCCAGAAGGAGATCACCCTGGCCAAGGAATCCATGTCCAAGCTCATCGACAGCCTCAACGAGCCCATCAACAACCCACGCCCTTAAACTACAGCGATAGCCATCCTCGCCATCGCCCACCAAATACTGGTCGACCCAACGAGGTGCCCACGCGCCCGACGTCGTCACAGCCAAACGACACGCCTTTCCGACCTCCGACCTACGCTCCAACCGTTCTTCATCTCCGAGCATACCCTGATCCTCATCTTCCGCATCGTCCTCACCTGCGGCAAAGCACGGACACGTGGTACTTCGTCTCCACCGACTGCGCCTCCGACCTCCATTTCCAGAACTGAACCTACCGCCCTCTCCCAACCTTCTCCACCTCCCTGGTCCTCCGTGCCTCGTCTTGCTAACCTTCACCTCCCCCCCTCTTGTGGTCGGGACGGATGGGGAGGGAGGCTTACGAGAGGTCGGGGAGGTGGGAAGAGATCTACTCACTGCGCCGTGCCCACCCACCCACCAGCGCCTAGGGCTTTGCACCCATCGCACACCCCATTCCTTCGTTAGGACCTCTCCTCCTCATCCCCTGATGTGTGTCCACAGATGTGCCCCATGCCATGACCGTTTCAGCAGTGCCGCCTTGGAGGTCACGCCGCTGCAGAAGAGCAAGCTAACTGCAGCGTCCCGCCTCCATCAAGAGCAGCCGCCGCGGCCCTCAGCCTCTTACCCCCGAGAGCGAGCCACTGCGGCTACCCCCGGGCGGCCTTTGTAGACACTAGTTCGCACCTCTTTCTTCAGCATCGCTTCTTGTCCCCATCTCTGCCTGCCACCGACGTCTGCCACTTTCAATGCCATGGCCGACCACCTGGACCATTGCACCTCGGCAACCCGCTGGGCCCTCAATGCCGCGGCCGACCACCTGGACCAAGGCACCTCGGCAACCAGCTGGGTCTCACCTTCAGCGCGTGCCCACCTACCCACCCGTCTCCGCCGCTCCTTGCTCCTCTCTTTTATTAACTTCCTCTTCCTCTTCCTCGCCTCGCCTTCGCTGAGCAGTGGTGGTCTACAACTCGTGCGTTCCTTTTTTGCTGTTTTTTCGGGCCCCGTGTCCCTTCGGTTCTCTCCGTTTCTTTTCCTTGGCGTTTTCGGGCTTAACTTTGCATCTGCTAGACCACCGCAACTGTTTTGACAGGCGCTTCCCCCCATCCATTTGTGCTCATGCTGCTTTTCTCTAGGCTACAGTTCTCTCTTGTCACATTTTCCCTAATGGGCCCCCCCCTTCACCTCGGGCCTTCAGCCGAGGTGGAGGGGCAGGATAGGTGGCTGCATGTGTACAACGACCTACAGTCATGAGCGAGCGAGCGAGCAGGATAGGAATAAGGAGGACGAGGAGGAACAACAGCAGCGGAATTGGAGGCGAAGGAGCCGGAGGAGCAGGAGGCAAAAGGGAAGGCGGAGGATGGGAACGGAGGGGGGCGACGACGATGACGAAGGATTCGGATCCAGAGAAGTGGCCCGCGCTGGGGCGAAATCGCTAATCTGAACGACGAGAGCAAGCCGCGATCCTAAAATGAGGCCCGCGCTGCAGCGGAAACAATATCTTGAAAAAACCGAGGACGGTCGGATGGGTAAAATACACGAGACACATCAGCTAATGCATGGAGTGTGTGGAACATTCTTGAAACGTCTGCGGGGAAGGGAAGAGAGCACCATTAATCTTGTGTAAGTGTGGACAGGGACGGGAGGGGAGATGTATGGGGTTCGAAACTGTCTTGAGTTTCTTGCGGAGTTTTCTTGTGGCCAGAGTTGTGCCGCCTGGTCACCGTTGAAGGAGTGGCTCAGTTTAGGTCATTGTGGCAATGTCTTGCGCGATTCGTTCTTGCCGTGGGCGTTTTTTTTTTTTTTTTTTTTTTTTTTTTTGTTGTTTTTTTTTTGGTTTTTGTTTTTTTGTTTGTTTGTATTTTTTTCCGTTTGTTTTTGTTGTTTTTGTCCTTTTTGTTTCTTTCTTTTTGTTATATATATATGTTTGTGTATATATACACATATACATTTACATATACATACATATATATATATATATATATATATATATATATATATATATAAGAAGCAGAAACAAACACAGTTTGTGGTGCGACCGCTGCTTGGTGCATCTTGTGATTTCCGGTGACGCCCCGAATTTAATGCTTTTATGATACAGTTTGTTGGCATGTTTAGCATCACTGGCCCTCTGGGCGTGATCGGTTTAGGTGGTCGGTTCTTCCAGATGCACTCCTTTCTTCCTCTGCAGCGCCCCCCGGGGGGTCTGGACGAAGGGATGGGCGCCAGGGTGGAAGCGTCCAAAATGGCCACGGATGCCTTCAAGCTCCAGGATGCATTCAGGTGACCCACGCCACATATGGCATCCAGTACGGCTCCGAGAGGCTTCGAGAAGGCCCAAGATGGCTCTGAGGCAGTCCCCAGGCCTCCCGAGGTTGCACTACAGCGGACGCAGAGAACAGCAATTTCCTTCGATGATTCGTGCCTTCTCGCCTTTGCAGCTTCCGATGGACTTTGGGGGCTTCCAGATGGCTCCAGGATGGGGCCCCGAGGGGCCCAGAAAGTGCTCCGCGAGGGCCACGAAGGCTTCAGAGCACTTCTAAGAGATGACTCTCGCGTGAAAACGGCAGACGATTTTGACGCTGCCGGGGGCGGCCAACAGTGACCCGAATTGCTCTCCGAATTGTCCAATCTGTACCCCCAAGATGATTCCAAATGCCCCCAAGAGAGCCCCAAGAGGCCCCCAAGAGGGCTCCCAAGAGGCTGCCAACAGGCTCCCAAGAGGCTCCCAAGAGGCTCTTAGAAGGTTCCACGCCACCGCATCGAATCGCATTCTACTGAGCTCTCCCAGAGATGCTGGGTATATCCATGCTTATCCAGGGCTCTTGTGGCCTCCACGACGTTCTTTCGCAGTCTTGGGCGCGACTATTTTGCCAAACTCTCCCGCATGTTTTCGGTAGAGCAACCTTGTGGTCGCTTGGGCGGGTTTCGGGGCTGTCTTGGGCCCGTCTTCATGCGGTCTTAGGGTGTCTCGTGGAGTCCCAGGCCGTTTTGAAATCCTCTTGGTTCCCTCATCTGCCGTCTTGAGGGCTTCTTGGGGCTCTCTAGAGCCGTCTTGGGGGCTCCTAAAGACTTCGTGGAGTCATTTTAGGGAGGCAGCCTCTGGCGCGACAAGGGAGGGTAGTGCCTGGAACGCTACAGAAGCCATGCTTGGCAGCCTGTAGGCGTATGACACGCCCCAGCGCGCGAGGGCACAGTGGCGGGCAATTCATAATTGCTCACTAATTTTCTATGCTTCAGCTCGTGAAGCCCGTACCGTTGCTTCAGAATGGTGTTTCAGTGTATTGTACGTTTAACGACCTGTCAGCCTCTCGCCTACCTTACTCCCGTCACGCTGCCAGGCAGACATAATGTCAGACGGAAGAAAGACATTGCGCGGTACACCAACTACCGTGTGATGAGGATAGCCGGCCTGACGCACGACAGACCAAAGGAGCTAAGCGTTTCTGCGATGGTTTTTGCAACGACGCAGCCCCTGCCATTTCACTCCCCTCCCCTCGCTCCCCCTTACTTATTGCTAACCCCCGCGCGCCGTCGTCGCATATGCCCTTACGAATTAGCGCAAGGGTGACATTAGCAACAGCAGCATCAGCAGTAGTGGATGACGCCCATACCCATATGCCTGTCCCGTGCTCTTTCCGATCATCCTCCATATCCCCCTCTTTTGCTGCTGCTTGGTGTTTTGCTCCCCTCTTTGCCTACCTCCTTCCCCAACTTGTCGGTCCACCCAGCGCGTGTTGTGTTGTAGCATAACGGCATAACATTAGCACCTTGTCTACGCGGTAACCTCAATTCATACTGATGGTCTTTAATCTGCTACTGCCAGCATTAAGCTCGCGCTCAGATCGAGGAGCAAGTGTGTTGAAGAGCAGGTTGCGGCGTTGTTCGCCGCGAGGGCGCGTGCTCGTGCGCGGCGCAGCCGCCACATGCAGTGGATGATGAGAGGGTGCCGGGTGCGAGGGAGGCTGGGTGTTTCTCCAGGGGAGCTCTGTTGGTCTTCTTGGGGCCCCCCTCTCCAGGTCGGTCCCGCCTCTCCTCCCCTGTGCCTGCTGCTCCTCCCTGCCCCTCCTCCGCTCCTCCCTTCTGGTCCTCTTGCTGTCCCTCCTCGTGCCGCCTCCCCTCGCCCCTACACCCCCTCGGGGTACCCCCCCTAAAAATAATCTGGGAGGCGGCATCGGCCCACTGTCGAAACCTTGGGTCCTTCATCTGGGACCAAAGGCCAACAGCAACACCCCGTACGAGGATAAAGAGACACCTCTGGGGGCACATAGTCATTTCGTTGGTGATAGATAGCCCTAGGGCTGACAAAGCTGCCGCGAATTTCGGGCCTCCGGCCCGCCCACAACTAACGGAGCTACAGCACCAAAGTTTCCAATTGAACAATTAGCTGCCGAGCCACAGCAGACGCGCAGCGGATCCAGACAGGCTCTCGCCAACACCCGAATTCCGAAAACAACGAATGGTATCCTGCCTCGTTCTCGCACGCTTGCTGGGAGGAGGTGGGGACCGACGCGCAGGACAGGGCGCGGAGGAGGAGGAGAGATCGGCCTGGGCGACAGCAGACGGGCGGGCCTCAATGCATGACGCCCCAGAACCGCGCGCCCTCGAGCCGACGCAATATCAGATCCCACTTTCACTGCACCAGTTGCCGTGATCGTTGTCAGCACCCTCATGCCTTCTTGTATCGCATCGGACTTCTCACATTCAATTACACTGCAAGCCAAACCTCTTGTAGTCTCATCATTCATCCCCTTTTCACCGTCGGGTAGGCTCCCCACTTCTCAGATATATCTTGCATCCCCGCTAGATCAGCATTGTCATGCATGCGCAACTCGAGCATGTCAATATCAACATTGACAGGCGTTCGCAACTCTAGCATATCAGGATCACCAGGCGTACATATCTCAGACACTGAACCATCATCAACCACACGTCCCCGCTGTCCAAGAAGCTCTGAAGTACACGCTCGAGATGGTTCATCGGGGCCACCCCTATCTTCTTCACTCCCCCGAGCTGTTCTCAGCAAGCGATCAGCACGCTCATCGATTCGTCTGTGGCCATCAGGATCGTCGCATCCGTTTTTTTGTCAGCACCCTGCATTTACACAAACGGGTTATTCGGCGCTCACGCCTGGTAATGTCAAGAGGCTGATCGACGTCCTCCACTCCTCGAGCTTCTTTGCGTTGGCTGCCCCCACCGAGTTCCTCGCCTCGGTGCAGCCCTCCACGAGCCCGACGAGCGCGGCGACCGAGATCGTCCCCATGGCCTCGATCTCCACCTCTTTTCCTCGTGCGCGTAGGTCCTGTGCGTTCTCGGCCCAGGCTCGGACCCTTTTGCGGCTCTTCTGGACAGGCACCGCGTTTTCTGGGATCAGCATCGCCACGAGCGTGGCCGCCTCTGCCTGGCGGGCCCTTCAGAGTCACATTCAGCAACAATCTCATGACCGCTGGCATGTCACGCACCATCACCTCTAACTCCATTGTTTCTAGATGGTCCAGCTCTTCCTTGGGCACCGATTTGGCCGATGCCTATATCGCCGCACTTCTTTTGGGGTCCCTGCCTGCGTCTGATGCCTGTCCTTTCTCTCGTCTTTTGCGCCGCCCGTCGTTACCGTTCGGTTCTGACGACTTCGGAGCAGGAACCGCCGCAAACATACCAGAAAACTCAGGACAGGAAGTGGTACATGAGAAGTGTTATGTCTATGTTACAACTCTTGAGAATCAAAGGGGTCATCACATTCAGGGCATACTTTCCTTTCCACGGCTTCAATGGGCAGTTCAAACTTCGATGCATCCAATCTGCACCTTCCCCGTACACGGCAGTATCCCGACAACGAAACGTATTCGATCACGCGATACATTGATTAGTCATGGCCAGCTTCGATATTTTCGACGGAATGCCGTGTTAGCCACCATTGGCTTTACGTTGACGAACGAGAAGCGCCCAACGCGAACAAAACCGCGGATTATAATCAAGACCGTTCTCCGTGAGCAGGGTGCAGCAGAAGTCGCCTTCGGCAATTTCCCGAGGTTCTGGGGGGGCAAGGTGAGAGGGACTATCATGTAGGAGCCACTCGGCCTTGAAATGCAGCACGTCAAACTTCTGGAACGCTTCGAAAGCGTTCGACTCTGTCTGGAAATGCTCATATAGTCTCTCTCCGTGAGCTGCTTCTCCTCCTCCTCCTCCTCCGGGCACCTCATGTACTCTACGTCCTGGAAGAACTGTCTGGCCCACGGGTTGGTCCTGGACGTGTTGGGCCTGAAGGGGGCTCGAGGGGTACCACGGGAACGGGGCCGCCACGGGAGCCTCGAGGTCCAGATCCCCAAACACTGCCGTGAGCTGCTGGATATGCCAGCCTGGTGAGCGGGCAATCCTTCTGCCACTCCTTCAACTTCTGAATTCTGAATTCGATACCGACTGGGACCATTTTTTTTTTGGGGGGGGGGGCTTTCTTCCAGATTTGGATAATTCGGGGGGGAGGGTGCGTATGGCTACCGTCTCGCCGCCGTCATCGCCGACAGCCGTTATCTTGACCGCAACTCTTCCAAGCATCACTCTGAGATACTGAGTCGAGTCTAGCTTCTTGCGACCCCGTGAGCACAACAGCCGTCAAGCCCGAGATAGACGCACCGATCACGTTACCTCTGAACGCAATTGCTTTAGCTTTCCAGGAAGGACACAGACCAGAAGCGACGCATGTGTGCCCATCCCCGGACGACAGCGGCACACCGAGCATAGATTTCCAAAGCCCAGGACCCAGGCGGAGTGAAGAGCACGCCGAGAAACGGGATGACGGGCGACACGATCCCCAGGAGCCCATCGATTTTGATTGATTTGAACGCCTTGGAGAAACGGTGCGCCCCGTGTCCGACGAAATGAGGGAGTACTTGTTTTTTCCCAACCATCCTGTGGTGTTGGGTCCTCGTTTTGAAGAGACAGCGCCCCGCGTCCCACCTCCTCCTCTCCTCTTTCCCCTCCTCCCCTCCCATCACCATCATCATCGTCGTCATCGTCGTCATCATCATCATCATCATCATCATCATCATCATCAGCTCCTCCCCTTCCCCACACCATCGTCACCATCATCACCATCACCCATCATCCGTCAGCATCATCATCTGCAGCATCATCCTCATCCACATCCTCATCATGATCGTCATCATCGTCGTCCCCACCGCCCATGTCGTCACACCCCTCACACGGTTCGTGGCCCCATAGGGAGCTCCACCGAAGGCCCCAGTGGGGGTGTCCGCATGCGTCCTCCCCGTCCACCGCAGGCCCATTTCGGCACGCCCCTCACACGGTTCGTGGCCCCATAGGGAGCTCCACCGAAGGCCCCAGTGGCACAGCTCGCATGCGTCCTCCCCGCCCACCGCAGGCCCATTTTGGCACACCCCTCACACGGCTCGTGGCCCCATAGGGAGCTCCACCGAAGGCCCCAGTGGGGGTGTCCGCATGCGTCCTCCCCGTCCACCGCAGGCCCATTTTGGCACGCCCCTCACACGGTTCGTGGCCCCATAGGGAGCTCCACCGAAGGCCCCAGTGGCACAGTTCGCATGCGTCCTTCCCGCCCACCGCATGCCAATTTCGGCGCACCCCTCACACGGTTCGTGGCCCCATAGGGAGCTCAACCGGAGGCCCCAGTGGCACAGTTCGCATGCGTCCTCCCCGCCCACCGTGCGCCCATTTCGGCGCACCCCTCACACGGTTCGTGGCCCCATAGGGAGCTCAACCGAAGGCCCCAGTGGCACAGTTCACATGCGTCCTCCCCGCCCACCGCATGGGAGAGGATCGCCAACACCAACGACGTGGATTGCATGTGGCGCATCTTCATCGGCCAGGCGGAGACCAACATGATCGACGCATGCGGGCTCCTCCATGAGCACGACAGGTACGCAGGCCGAGGGCAGCGACCCTAGCTTGTGAGCACTTCGGCTACGGCACCGTCGCCACCGAGACTGCCAAGGGTCAAGCGGGCATCGACGTGGTGCAGGGCGATCGCCATCAGCCTCAGGGACGCTGCGCAGATCGAGCGCCCGCTCACAAGGCTGGGCGCGCTCCGTGCCTTGCGCAAGTTGGTCAGCAGGCCCCCGTCCGAGCTCAGCGAGTTGCAGCGCGCTATTCACGTGATAGCCACAGGAGCCAGCAGCTACTCCCTCCCGCAGCTGGACGTTCTCAGTGCCGCATGCTTCAGCTGGTCGGAGAAGATGGTCAAGACTGACATGGACCAGGCCTCCCAGAACTACAACGAGTGGGTGCTGCACTCAGTGGCCACAGGCACAGGCGGCATCCACGCGGTCACCAAGATGGCGCAGAGCTGGAATGCGAAGCCCGCCAAGCCAGACGGCGAGCCGCCGTCCACCATCCAGCAAAGCCTGCAGACGCTGGTGGACGAGTGGTCGGGTTACTGGGATGTGGCGGCACCGACTGCGC